ATAATAAGATCTCATAAATATATATGAAAATTCTTTTGCCCAGTAATAGTTCTCAAGTTAAAGTGTTCGCACGGAAATAAAGTACCACATCCGGTTACCGGAAATAGTTCAAAAGTTGAAAGAATACTGCAAATACAATTTGGCAAAAGAGACACCGAAGAGATGCCCGGTTTACTTCCTGTTTCTCAGTGTCCGCACCCCCCGGAAAATGTTGACCGTCCCCGCCCGAAAACATCAAGTTCCCCAACCCCCCCCCCCCCCCCCCCCCGAGAAGAAAGTCTGGAAGAAACACTGGAAGTAAAGTTACTGGAAATCGCACAAAACTTAATAGGCCTGCAGATCTACAAATTTGATATAATACTTGTATATGAAATATCGTCCACATAACTGAACTATACTGAAGTTATCGTGCTTACAGACATCACATACAAAATTACAAAACCAAGGTTTTCCGTTTTTAGATCTTTTTATACGATTAAAAGACATCTTTTATGTTTATTATATGATAAAGTAGGGAAGTTTAAAAAGGCGAAAATGTGAAAATATTTGATGATTATTCAGCACGACTTTCTCTGTACACGAGAAAGTAAAAATACACTGAAAACTAAAAAACAAAAACTGCATTTTTTCGAGGTTTTTTGTCTTTTCCGGGAAATCCAGGAAGGAATTCCGGGAATTTTTTTGGCCCACAATCATCCTCGAAACTTGTTTAACATATCTGCTTTTGGAACTAGTCCTCGATATTGCTTCGTTGAGGAGGAGATACGACTTAAAGCTGCGGACACACATCCATCCATCCATCCATCCAGAAATGACGAGTTAATAATCGCAATTCCTGTAAGGAAATTGCGCTAAAAAAAACAATGCATAAAAAGCCTTTTAATAACAAGCTTTTATGTAATAATGCACTAAATAGGAGAAAATAAATGATTTTCTTAAAATATACAATAATACACCACTATTTAAATTACAAAGAAAAGCTGTATGAGTTATTTCTATGTGGGATATTATACACTGTACGACTGCACCTGCTTTTATTTCTGGATTTGCTTCCTTAGCCTTTGTCCACCCAAAACAATATGCAAAGGGGAATCTGTTTGGTTTTTTTTTAAAATAATTATAGTGTTGCAAATTTTAGCTAATCCGATTCAAGTTTAGGTAAACATTTTTCATCAGGACATTCTTTCTTAACCAACTTTATCTGGCCACGCATCGACAAAGAAATTAACTCCCATCCCCCTCCATCAAGGGGTCATTTGATATATGGCGTCAAGCTTTTTAAACGATTGTTTACCTCCTACCCAGTCCTGTCCGTCACAAAAAGCCTGCGATTCCCCTTCAAATGACATCACACCTCAGCCTACAACCCCCCACCCCTCCTCCAACTAACAGTTTGTTTTAAAACATCGATTTCTTTCTAAAATATTGACTGAGCTCGTTGACATACAGTCAGTGCCGGCGCAAGGAAATTTAGCTCCCTAGGCAAAACTTGTTAAAACGCCCCTTTCACATAAATTAATTACAAAAACATATGTATGAGAAAACAATAAATTACAAGTGACATTAAATTATTATCTATTGCATGAACGTTACAAGTAGGCCACACTTTAAAATCTAAATGTAATGTTTCGTGCCTTCTTCGTCACAAAAGTTTCTACTAATTCCTTCAATTCCAGTGTCAAAGCGTAATCACATTCCGTTGAAATGAGGGAGGTAGGGGGCATTTTCACCAACGCGAATATCTATAGGGCCTGTATTGGCTTCTATTGGCCTAACTTGCGGGGGGGGGGGGGGGGCGAAAAATTGAAAATTCGTCCTGGGCGCCGAAATATATCGCTACGCCTTTATATGATAACCTCTCTATAGTATCTATAATGTAATCAAAGTAATTAATTGTTGAGTACTTTTAAAAAAAAGGCTATTACACATTTTTGCGCCTCCTATGAATAGCGTCCTAGGCGACGGCCTAGTTCGCCTTGTAACGGCTAAAATTCGGTTTTTTAAACACATTTTTAAAAAGGCCGAAGTGTGACATCACATTATTTGAACCATCATCCCCTACCCCCTCAGAAAGAAACAGGTGGACTCTACTTCACTTGCCCCATAGGCCGTCACTCTCCCTCATCACACGTCGTCACTAGTCTAAAGTACGAACCCCCCCCCCCCCCCCCCCCCCCCACCAGTGTGACTTAATTTATTATTTTATGGACGACCCTCATCCGTAACTATATTATTGGTGTTAAGACTTTAGACAATCACAATGTGTGAATAGTCATTAACAGCAAAATAATTAAAAAAAATATCTATCGATTACTATCGAATGAAGATTGTCTTTCTTTCTTGCTGACTATCCTACACAATAAATAAATAATTTTATTTATTGTTTACAAAATAGTTCGAGAAAACAAGAATTACGTGGTTATATCCCTTATGTCTATATCAACAATTTTTTCTTTGTGATTGGAGAGTAAAACTTTAAAATTTATATGCACTGTATGTGTACTAATAGCCGGGTAAAAATTCTTCAAATATTAGGCTACTGCAGGTCGACTATTTTTGTTTGTAGTGTTGGTGGTAAATTTTAGCACTAATCGTTTGCAGTACAGGTATTGTTTAACAATTCAATGAATGAATAATTAAAAATTAATCTAGCTTAATGATTACAGTAGGCCTAATTATTTTTTATTAAAATTAAGCAATAATAAAAATAAAACAACAAACTACTCGACTCGACTCTCTCTCTTCTTCACTTCTCTGAGTCTTCCTTCAGTCTTGATTACACACAACTTCATAACTTAGACTAGTTTCTAGATCTAGACTAGATTCTAGATCTATAGATATCTACTCTAGATTTAGTAGTAGTACCTAGATCTAGTACCTAGTAGCCTACTTATTTTTGATACTGATACTCAGAGGCATAGCGACCCTTCCCGGCGCCCGGGGACAAACTTTCATTTCCATTTGCACCCCCTCTCAGACTTTCGATTTGCACCCCACCCTCAAACTTCCGATTTGCACCCCCCTCCTCAGACTTTCGATTCCCCCCCCACCCGCCTTAAACTTTTGATTTGCACCCCCTTTCAAGCTTTCAATTTATTTTTCCAACCCATTTTGGCGCCCCCTAAGCCCCTAAGGTTGGCGCCCAGGGACATATGTGTCCCCCGCCTCTCCCTCGCTACGTCTCTGCCTATACTTAGAAAGAGTAGAGTCTGAGTAGACTCCAGATTACTCTAGCTAGATCCTAGAATGATAATCTAGATCTAGAAATCTAGTACTAGATTCCCTAGATTCTACTCAATAACTCATTCTCATGTACTGCAGTGTGTGTTACTTGTGAATCACCACTACTACAAACTAGACTAGAATCTAGATCTAGAGGGTTTTGTTAAATTGCAAAATGGCAAGGTGGTAAATTAGGAGAAGAAATAGTAAATATAGTAATAGCTAGACACAAATTGTAAGACATTTTTTTGTTTCATGCTTTTGGTGATTTTTTTTACCAAATGTGCGAGAAGAAAAGTTATGAACTAAGTAGGTATATCACTAGGTCAATACCTTCTGATCTTTAACAATTTGTATTGTTGTACTTGTAGAAATTAATTGAATGCAAAGGTAGGCTAATATTACGAAATTTATTTGCTACATTACAACATGCTTGCGGCGTTGAGCATGGTGATGTTCAAAGGCGATATATATCGGGCAGCTTCGGTGTTCCACACAAAAGAAAAATATTCACAAGTCATCAGCATGTCTAGCGACGTACAAATTGAAAGTTATAACAATGCAAATGAAATGGATTTTAAGTTTGGATTAAAGTTCATTGTAAGTCGGATGCTGTATAATTTTTTACAGATATATTCGCATTTACCCCCACCCAGCGTAAGTATAAGGTGGGGCCGTCAGTTTCGCAGCCTTCTCACAATTTACAGCCTCGCCATTTTGTGTCTCACAATTTTCCAACACTCAGATCTAGAATTTAGTTGATTTAGGTCAAGACTTAGACTCTAGTAATTTTACTAATTTAGAGTTATGGTAAATCAAATTCCTCAAATTTATAGATCTAGAATCTAGATGTACATTATTATAGATTAAAGCTTAGTTAAACAACTTCGTTTATAATTAGGTCTATTTGAAAGGTGTGCTTGAGGTCATTTTTACCATTAGTATACTTGAATCTCTCAGGGCCTGTATCTCTCACCCCTTTCTGAGTTGGGTAAATTGATAATTTTAATGCCGTCATAAGTGGAATTTCAGGGTCACCATCACATAAAACTTCCAAAACAAGGGTGGATATAAATATTGAAGTCATAAGTTAAGGAACCAAAAAAGCATACCTTGCTACTCACTCAAATGTAGATTTTAATTAGCTATTAGGCCAGGTAATATTAATGATTAATAGATCTGCTCTGTCCACTGCTGTAAAAATAATAGATCAAAGATCTAGTAAAGTTTTAAAGTTTAAAAAAATAATTGAAAAATAGGTTTTGTTAGTCAATAACCTAAGAACTAAAGCGTTAACTAACTACTATTAATATAAAGGCACACAAAGAAGACTAGGATTGTCATCTTGCAGACTTGCCTAGTAAATTATTTTATCTCTGGGCTTTTAGTGTAATCGTGTTTGTTTATTCTACCTTACTTATTATTGAATCTATTGGTTGTTCACTACACAATTATTGTGAAAGTTAAGATGATGCATGAAATAATACAGCTTTAATGCAATGGTTGTACAAGCTATATTTATTAATAGCTAACACTGTAATAAAACATACAAGCTAAGTTTATTTTTTTAAAGTTAATCAAAATCAACATTCTTTTTTTTTCCTACGAGTCATACATTCTCGTACTACACATAATGATAATCTATCACAACAAAAAAATCAAATGGAATATAATCTCTAATTCATATGGATTTCAATTTATAACCTTATCTTTTTATTGAAATGAATACAATGTAAAATAAGATATGTTGTATTAAGCCATATTTAATATTTAGCCAGGTGAATTTGTACCATGGACAAGATAAAGCGCGATGTGCTCATTACCAATCGGGTTGGCCTTGTTGATAGTATCAATGTGAATGATGGTCTATATACTCAGCTATTAGCAAAGAGAGTACTAAGTCAAAGACAAGTTAATCGTATAAAGGTGAGATAACATTTTTTGTGAGCGTGTTTTTTTGCATTGAGATTTTTTAGTTAGAATTTGTATTTATGTTAAGCTTATTTTGATTGCTATCTATCTATTTCTACATCTTTCACAAGAGTGGCATGAAAATTTGGGAAGTTGTTGAGAATACTCCTGGGGAGGTTTCTACAGAAAAATAATTTCAATTTTGGAGGGCAGCGCCCCTGCAATGCGCAATTTTGTGACCATGGCTCCCCCCATGAACACTAATGCATCTATGATTGTTTTAATAAGTGCTATACACTAATGATTATGGATACGATTGGCTACTATAAGCATTTACTAAATCAAATCAGGAACATTCTGCAGGCTGTAATTTGGTGCCCTGGGTTCCTGGCACACAACATGGGATGATTAAACCAAACCAGGGGCCGTACCTGGCACCCATGCAGTACTATAACCTCTGGATTTCAAGAGTGCCCCGCAATACTCCAGACACCTGGGGGGTGGGGGGTTGCCGAGATGTCTTTACAATTAAGACTTTCATAAAGCACGCCCTGGGCAGCATAGTGTATATTTATATAACTAAAAATACACAATTGATAAAACATTACGTTTTGCCAGCTAAGTTACCCTTTAAAAAATAAAGATTAAGATCAAGTTTAGAACCCTGTGATGCAATGTGTTTGGTTTTACATGATCCAATAAGATAATAAACTGGGAGTGATCTCCCCTAAACTTTCTTGAATATTCTAATATAACACTACGGGGGATGGCAACTCCGGACATAGACAGTATTTTAAATCTATTTTTAATTACTTTAACTTTTTATAATAGAATAGAATCTCGAAAAAAAAATGCCAAATAAAATGTGCACAATGGTGCGGGATATTATTAGTACTTTATAAATTCACATGCGTTTTTTAAGAAATTGTAAATAATGTAAATTACTACTTCCGGTCGACGGAAATTATTCAAAATTTAATAGAAGGCAGAGAATTAGAACTTTAACTTACATGTGAAATTTCTTTATCTATCTAAAATAGTACTCAAGTTATAGGCTTTTGAAAAAATTCCACTTCCAGTTATTGGAAATCGCTCAAAAGTTAATACAATTTTGATATAATACTTATATATGAAATTTCATCAACCTAGCTCTAACGGTACTGAAGTTATCGTGTTTACACACAGGCACACATACACACACAAAACATACAGACAAGATTGCAAAACTATGTTTTTCCTACTCAGGAAGCCCTAAAATGTCGAGATTTTTGCAAATCTCGATTATTTTTTTTTTGCCCAATTACAAGACTTTCTCTATACTTTGTATATACGGGAAAGTAAAAAAGTGAGATCATGCGTCTAAGATTAAAAATACATGATGCGTAACACATTGTAATATTTTTGTTCTTCGTCTAATCTTTTGTCCATCTTATTTTCTCAGGGAAATGGTCGACCGGAGGAAGAACAAGTGGAAGAGCTGCTCAATGAACTGTCCAAGAAAGAATGCTTTGAATTATTTTGTGAAGCATTGATAGCTGACAACCAAGAGCATATAGTTAAAAAATATCTTCAGCTCCCTGCTGCCAAAGAGACTGTGGCCTCTGAAGCATCTGTAGCACCTCCTCCAGCATGTACCAATGCGGGAAATCCTGTATGCCAACCAGCACAGGTGCAGTCATTAGGAGCAACAGAAGCGTCATCCCCTCTAAAGAGAACATGTCCATCCTCGTCATCGTCTACTGTTTTATTGATAAAAGAGAATGACAATAATCTTTATATTAGATATGCAGATGAAACACCTGAGAAACACCCCAGATTGACTGAACAAGCAGTTGCCTTTCAACCAGATGAAACCAGATATATGATGAAACATTTTGTTGCAGAAGATACTGAGCAGGATGGCGAGTTGGATAACAGGATAATGGTTCCGAATGTTGCGTCTCGTTCAATTTTAATGAGCAATCCTCAGTCATTGGACAACCCCAATATTCAAGATAAATCTAGATACGCTACAGCTTTTGGAAAAGAGGGAGATTTTATAAGGTTTGAAGATTAATACTCTTTAAGGGCATGGACGGGTGAGGAATAACAAATTAGCCAAAATGCTTATTTCTAAACCTAATTCTATCATATCATATCAAAGAGTTATGGCCGAAAATTTCCTGCCATTGCCATGGTGATGGTGGCCATCTTAGAATTTTTTAACCATTTTAACATTGAAATTATTAACTTGTTTTGGAAAGTTAATTATCAAACATGATACATTTATTCACGGGTATTATTCTTTTAAATTAGCATAAGTAAATTATAACTAAATAAAAATTTTCCATTGTTTTTTTAAAAATATTTTTTTATTATCTTTTACTTTTTTTTGCAATTTAAGAAAAAAGTTTTGTTTCAAATAATGATACTGCATTTACCACTTGCTGTCATTCCTCACTTTTTTTCTTTTGCTTACCAAACTTTGAGCAGAAGTTGACATGCAATGCTTTTTTAGCTCTAAAATAATTTATAAAAAATTCACATTCAATACTTCTGCAGGCTGTCATCATTTGGAACTAGTTCCAAATTCATCAAACTGTCCCCTTCTCTTCCATCATTTGACCTAACAGTCTTGGCAGCTCAAAAAGCTTTACATTCCGTCCCTAGAAAACCTTTTACAGCTCCAGAGACTGAATCATCTAGATTTCAAGGTGATGCTGTCGGTAAGTTTTTAAATATTAGCATCTTCAATAACTGTTTAAAAAGAAAAGTTAAAAACTAAGGGTGATGAATCGCTAGATGATACCTTACACTACACTTGTTTTTACGTATGACAACTGCTCCTTGTGGTGATGACTGGACCTTCATTCTTCTCTGTCTAAATGTTTGTTGTTATCTCCATAGAGGTTCTCAATTTCTCATATCATGATTTTGTTCCACAAGGTTGTCATCTTTGCAATTTGTGCATCCATGTTTCTTAACTTTAAAAATTTTGAAATATCAGTTAAGATTGGTAGTTTAAAAAAATCACTAGTGGCATCACTAACTAAATTTAATGTTTGAAAGATTCAGTCCACTATTTTAATAGATTTTGATTTCTCCTGTATTGTTTGTACCCAGATCCACAAACCATATTGAAAGTTGAATTCAGATATTACTTGGCTAAATCTAACTAATACAAGCAACATCAATAGTAAAGTGTTTAGTTGTTTTGGATGATTATAGATACTGGTGTCTGATAATGGAATCTTCTTTAAAAAAAGGGGTGTTGGGTTGTTAGTAGTATTGTAATCTTGACTAATTTTATGGTTAGAAATTAGGGTTAGGCGTATGGTAGGACCAGGGTTAGGGTTAGGGACAGGGTTAGCATCAACATTAGCCAGCCAAGTGTGTATTTAGTTAATTACCAGTAACCTAACACCCCTTTTTCAAAGAAGATTCCATTATCGGACTCGGGTGTAGACATTCTCCCGTTTTATTTTTACATTTATGAAAAAAAAATTCTTAAAAATAAATATTCAGTAAAATGGCCAAATTTCCATGTCTTTACATGTCTTCTGCTTTTGAGCCAAATGTTCAGAGCTACTAAACACATAATTGTGGACCCATTTTTGCTATTCTCCATAAAGAGGAAAAACATATGCTTTACATTATTTATTTTTCATATAAAAAATCCCTCATTTCAACTTTTAAAATTTTAAGGCACTGCCATATTCTTTTATTTAGAAGTTATGCCCCCTGAGTTAAAACTAGTAGAAACTAGAAGGACAGGTATCGGTAACAGAAAAACTGTAGTGTAGAAAACTACTGAAAGGCTATCTTTCTTATCTTTTGTCTCCCTTTGGTTTAGTATTTACATAACATCTATTTTATGGTGTTAGGGATTTGTTCATTGTGCTTTACTGTGCCATTATAGTCTTATTTAAATTTTAACAGACATTTTTTTAATATGATTAGCATTAATCCTATGGAAACAATAATTTTTCTTGTTTTAATTTTTACTTCATTCAGACACAATGGCACTTAAAACTGCTACATGGATAACAAACCAGAATCAAAACTACATGCCTGATAACTCAATTAATGGTATGTTTATTTTTTTTACAGTTTTAATGTATGTAATTAATATATTCTCATTGATGTCATAAAATTTGTGTTGAAATTATGGATTTCACTCTCTTAGCCCTTATGCCTCTATTATGGTACGTCAGAATCCGGCTGTAAACAACACGCTATACTTAGTATCACCTAGTGATGGAACTATTCTTTTTAAGGAGTTTTGAAATGCCTATCAATACACAGGAAGTCTCAAGCTACTTTTAGTAAATTTGCTACTGTTTATTGGCAGTATATTTAGCCTGTCGCTTGACCTACTTTATCGTCATGGCAGCAGAAAACGACTATACCATGATTCCGTCTTTTAACAATTTTTCATGGTTATTTCAGAAACACATACAATTTTTATTTTGCTAATTATTCAAATTATTACAATGGATGATTAGTGTGATGACGCTAGTTCAGGGTAGATGACGCTAGTTCAGGGTAGATGGTAGAAACAGACTATAGCTAGTAGGTTAGACAGACCAATCTTCTTCTTCTTCTTCTTTGTTCTTAATTTTTGGTGTTGGGAGGTATCGAGCCTTATCTGCCAGAGGGTTTGAACTCGAGACTTTTTTTGAATTTATCAACCATGAGCTTTGCCGACTCGACCATGCTTCCGTCACAATTAAGGATTACATGTCAACTGGTTTTGTGCCATTGAGGCCATTGACTCCGATTTCAGCCTGCTTTTCTTTTTGGATTTGCTTCCATGGCCTTTGTCCAACCAAGAACAAACTACAAGGCAGCAGTTGTTTGATTTTGGAGTTGTCTCTCCTAGAAGAGTGGCTGTCCCCAGCTAACGCGCCTCATCTGCCCGAGGGTTCGAACTCGAGACTTTTCGGTTTAGCAACCATGAGCTTTACCGACTCGACCACGCCGACCCCAGACAGACCAATGAAAATACAGGAGCTGACCGGTAACGTGGGATGGTCAGCTGACCACTGAAGCGTGTGTCAGTAGTTAGATCAGCAGTTAGTGATAAGTAACGGTTAGAGACTGAGATATGTAGAGCTAGGGAACAGTTGGTGTTAGGTAGCGCAAGAGAAATGTAGAGTTAGGTAGAGAGCTAGAGGTAGATTGCGTTAGGATTGGTCATGGGAGTGCGTAGTTAGTAGTAGTAGTAGTAGACAGCACATAGTATAGATTAGTTAGATAGAAGTAGAATAGTTGATTTATGTAAATGAAGAATAGTATATCTTGGATCGCACTTGTGTGTGTTAATTCCAAACTATAATCAGGTTGGTATCATCTTAATCACCCCCACCCTCACATATGGTGGTGCTGCTTTCCCCACCCTTTACAATTAGTGTTTGATGGAAACTTGCCATTTGTACTTTTGTTTTGGCCTAATGGCTGAGAATATCAAGCAAACATAGATAAGCAAAATGTTAATTACTGTATTTAATATTATTGTAAGAACACTCAAGCTTGTGCAATTAATAGAAAATTATATGTTATGTCCTACTTAACTAATTTCATTAATTAAAAATAAATTATGCAGGGGTAAAAAAAAAACCTTCAAAAACTAACTTGATTGAGGGAACAGCCAACTTAGCCTGTCCATTTTGCCCACCATGTTAGTGAATGGGAAGAAATCTAGCAGACAACACATTTTTGCTAAACAGTCAATGGTGCCTCAACAACACTCCTTATATTAAAAACTAACCCAGAGCATCAGTCATAGCATTGCAGCCATTTAAAAAACAAACATGCTTTTTCGCAAATCATTTTCTGGGGTTGCCCATGTTTGGTATTGTTAGAAATAAATGTGTAATATATTAATTAAAATACCATCATTTCTCTTCAATTATCTGTTGTTTTTTAATAATTGGAGGAATGATTGATTTGTAATGAATTTTTTAATTCAGTGAGCTAAGAAACTAACATTTTCTTTGTTCTGGAGGTAAATTTCTATTAGCTGTTTAAGTGCTGAGAGGGTTAAATGACATTGCTTCTATGAAAACTTTTAGATGCAGGGGTAAAGAACACATTTTTTAACAATAAACAATTTAAAAATTAAAGTACTTTTACCAGTACTGTTTTCAGTTCATGTAATCAAATTTTTTAATTGCTTATTGATGTAATTTGCAAATTGATAGGGGCAGACTAATGGACCCAAGTGAGAATAGTTTCAAAGGTATTTAAGAAGCCCGTTAAATATTTTTAAAATCATGCACAGTGTAATTAAAATTAATATGGCTATAAAATTCTGACTATTTTTTTTCTGACTTTAAAAAGAATGGATGTATTTGATGTTTTAGTATTTTCTGAAATTAAACACAATTTTTTAAAAATGGCAAAAGCAATTTGGTTTTCACATGGTAATGGCGACATAAACAATGACATCCTGCAATTTGATAGGCTAGCATAAATTTATATTATAAAAAAAAAATTCACAAATGGCAGAACTAGGTCATATGGTTTAAAATAGCATTGTTATTTAAAAACTTGACCTTCAATGTTTTGTAAACAGATAACTATTGATCACTGAGTTCCTGTACAGCCAATCAATGTTTGTCTTACAAAGGTGAAACATCAGGTTATAACTTAGGCTTGATGAAAATAAATAGAAATGTAGCCTTGAACTCAAAAAATTATTTTCAAGTTCTCGGGAGTTGCAACTTTTATAACATTGATTCTAAAATATTAAATTTTTTTTCTGGGGCACTTTGATTGCAATCTAAAAACAGCATTTTTTTAATCCATGTCAACAATGTGTTGGAAGGATACTCGTCAACTCTGTGGCCTCCATTTAATTTAATATCTTGATAGTTACTTCCCATTTAAAGATTTTAAAAAATCAAGGTAGACAACCAGAAACTGTTTGCAAAAGTTATTAAAAAAACAAATCATCAATAGTAACCAAAAAAAAATAAGGTGTTCATTAATTATTTATTATTGTATTAAATATGAATATCAAAATCTTTATATGGCTTCTTGTCCTTCCTTTATATTTCATGGATTATAGAATTATCATTTTACTCTATCCTGAATATGAAACTGTTAGTTGTATTAAATACCTTATCTATTAACATTTGTCAGTTCAGTTAAGCAATACTGTCTGGATGAAGACGTGGGTATAGTCTACTTAAATTAATTTGCGTGTTTATTTTCTGTGGACCTATGGCAGGGGTCAGCTACTTTTGACTTCGGCTCTCCAGTTCCTTGCACAAATATTAATAGTTATATAATTTCATTTTTACTGGACGGCGACTTTACTCCGCGTTCAGTTGGATGGAATATAAGCCTGGTAAGAACCAAAGGATAAAAGCGAACGATGCAAGTTATTCAAACCGATATCCAAGCCAGTTAGAAGTTGTTTGCCGTGTTGAGGCCTGGCTGGCTATTTGGAGATACCTCCTCAGCCAGTGATATCCGTAAAGAAAAAAATAAAATTAAAATTAACAGCTTCTAAAGTGGATTGAGATAGTCCTAGAATAATATTATTTGATTACTAATTTTACTATCCTGGCGAAACATGTCTATGTTTTTATATGAATAAATAATATTTCATATTTAAAGCTATTTATTTTAAATAACAAATCAAATTTATTTACCTAATCCTAATCAAATACCGAATATTGAACTAAAAATGTTGTGGCTCTTTAAAAACTGGGAAAGTTTGTAAATTGTAACTTTTGGCTCTTGACTAGCAAAAGGTTGCCGACCCCTTACCTATGGCAACACATTCAGGGTCCCCTCTCTTTTACCCTTTCCCAGTCATGGGTAGGCTATAGCTACAAGTCAGTGTTTGTTTGTGATCAGTCCCCCTTCCTAAATGAGCTGTCATTCTTTAACTGTTGAGCATCCTCTGCCTGATGGACAACTTATTGTTTTGAACTCATCTTTCATATACATATAGTGTGTATATTATACACCTACAGTTAAACATGGGAGGAGTGGGTGGAGTTTGGGAAGGTGCAAAAATTTTGAGGCCTTTTAAAGTGACAAAAGTTTGGAAACTGCTGCCTGACTTCTTGTATTGTAGTTTTATTAGTTTTTTGTAACTGTATTATAAGAGTTAATTTTTAAAAATTCCTTTAAAAATAAGGCTTCACTACTCGTTTAACAGTTTTTAATAAATGCTTTTTCTACCTCAATTTAGATACAATTAAAAAATGGGACTCCCTGGCAACAAATATGCAATCCTCCAAATCGTATAGACATGTTGAAATATTGCCTGATATAGGAATAGGGGATATGGAAGAAATAGACCTTCCAGATGGATGTGTCAATGTTAAAGTTGAACACACTAGCAAGGAATTTTTTCTAAACAATTTCAAGAAGGTAAGCATTTCTCTTTTTGTTTAATTTTTAAAAAATTTAAATTTCATTAGATAATTTTAAAAATAATCAGCTAGCATCTTAAAGAAAAGAGCAGAGTTGGAAGTAAAAGTTTTTAGCTTTAAAAAAGAATAGTCCTTTAAAGCTCATATTATTCTCCTTATTTTTTCATTTGACCTAGTTTGCTTTTCATATGTTTGTTCTTCAAGTTTAAAAATTAATTCTGGTACTAAGTTTTAAAATAATTTATATTTATGAACATGTATCATCATAATGTTTTACAAATCCTTTCTTTGATTATTGGATAACTTTTAACTTTTAAACTTATGAACACTTATCATCATAGTGTGTTACAAATCCCTTTCTTGAATAGTTGATACCTTTAAAACTTGCATGTATTGTTATTGTGTTTTATGAATCTCTTTCTTGAATAGTTGATACCTTTAAAACCAATTAATTATTTTTTCTTTCTAAAGGCTTATCCCTTGCGTCAGATTCCCAGGGGTTATGCTCTCATTATAAATGTTGACGAGGTGGTTGGAAAGCCTCCCAGGAAAGGAACGAATTTTGATAGGGATAATCTATGTAACCTTCTTACCCAGTTGCACTTCAACATTATAGTATTTAATGACAGTGATGGTCTCTCAGCTCAGGTGAGTACTTTAATCTAGCTCTTATTTTGTATTTTATGTGCCAGGTAAGCTATGTCTACTTATAAGGCAACTGCTGATATTGCTAGCCATGGCAAAAGGAAAAAAGGCTGACCAAGGAAAACCTGGAGACTGTCCTGGAAGAAGACAAACCAAGAAGATTTGGATACGCCTGGGGACAGTTGGAGAGACACACACCAAGAAGATTTGGATACGCCTGGGGACAGTTGGAGAGACACACACCAAGAAGATTTGGATACGCCTGGGGACAGTTGGAGAGACACACACCAAGAAGATTTGGATACGCCTGGGGACAGTTGGAGAGACACACACCAAGAAGATTTGGATACGCCTGGGGACAGTTGGAGAGACACACCCCAAGAAGATTTGAATACGCCTGGGGACAGTTGGAGAGACACACCCCAAGAAGATTTGGATACGCCTGGGGACAGTTGGAGAGACACACCCCAAGAAGATTTGGATACGCCTAGGGGCAGTTGGAGCAACACACCCCAAGAAGATTTGAATACGCCTGGGGACAGTTGGAAAGACACACACCAAGAAGATTTGGATACACCTGGGGACAGTTGGAGCAACACACCCCAAGAAGATTTGAATACGCCTGGGGACAGTTGGAGAGACACACCCCAAGAAGATTTGGATACGCCTAGGGGCAGTTGGAGCAACACACCCCAAGAAGATTTGAATACGCCTGGGGACAGTTGGAGCAACACACCCCAAGAAGATTTGAATACGCCTGGGGACAGTTGGAGAGACACACACCAAGAAGATCTGGATACGCCTGGGGACAGTTGGAGCAACACACCCCAAGAAGATTTGGATACACCTGGGGACAGTAGGAGTGACACACCCTAAAAAGATTTGGATACACCTGGGGACAGTTGGAGCAACACACCCCAAGAAGATTTGGATACACCTGGGGACAGTAGGAGTGACACACCCTAAAAAGATTTGGATAGGCTGGGGACAGTTGGAGCGACACACCCCAAGAAGATTTGGATACACCTGGGGACAGTAGGAGTGACACACCCTAAAAAGATTTGGATAGGCTGGGGACAGTTGGAGCGACACACCCCAAGAAGATTTGGATAGGCTGGGGACAGTTGGAGCGACACACCCGTACAAGGAAGGGCGATATGCTAACCTAACCTATATAATAACAGTTTTTTTAACTTTCTGGGTTAAAACATTTTGTCTGAATGCCTACAACAGCTATCTCCACAATTCATTAAAGTGGTGTATGTCAATTGCTCAACTGACATCTGTCACAGAGCAAATTGAAAGAAAGCCAACTGATGTAATGGTCTAATCCACAAATAATTTTTAATTCTGTTTTAGTAGATTTGAAAAGAAAACATGTCAATCCACCCATTGCAGTTAATAATGTGCAAATACAATGTTTAAATACTGTTTTTATGTTAGTTTTATATAACAAAAAATGTTTGTTATTTCAAAAAAATGTAAGCTTATTTGCTGGTTCACAGAAAAATGCAAAAATAGAAAAATGCGGCAATAGAAGCAAACTATACTAGTAAACTTAAATTTTGTCATATTTCGTGGAAAAATGTAGTCGTCATTCTTTGCTACGTCAACAATTGATCGATTTTAAGAGAGTAAATTTCGTTGTGCAAATTTTTGTGCACAGTTTTCCATTGCACATTTTTCCATTTGTGCATCTTTCTGGTCACCACTTTTGCTGTGATAAACTTAGTCACTTTTATTATAAGTTCACTTGATCAGAAACATTTAAATTTATATAAAATAGCTATACAAATCCTTAGAATTTTATGATAACAAACTTTTAAATTCACTAAGCATAAGTCACAGAAACACATTTTTGATGTAAGAGCTTTTGTCAATAAAATGCATTGAAAAGATTTCTTGAACGACCAACAGTTTTACTTTAACTATGCTGTTAACTTTTAAATTTATATACCCTAAAAATGTATTTAAATCATATTTAACTAAAATAAAGCTACATTTATATCTGCTTTAATCTCTTGACAGGATATTGTCAACAAGCTGAAAGCATTTGCCAGAATGAAAGAACATGAAGATCTTGACGCTTGTTTTATTTGCCTGTTGAGCCATGGGGAGGAGGGGTACATCTTTGGGACTGATGGGAAACGTATTCCCCTTGAGGAGATTTTCATGCTGTTCGGGAACACAAACTGTAAGGGACTCATTGGGAAGCCAAAAATTTTTATCATTCAGGCATGCAGAGGGGGTAAGTAATTGTTTATATTGCATTCTAATGTTAATAAGATAATCAGTGGCGATAACAAAAATTCTAAACAAAGTTTACAATCAACATACTAATTTGAGAAAAAAATTAAGATGTAAAACAAAAAGTATATTTTCAATTAAATGTCTGTATCATTTTAAAAAATAATAATTAAAATGTCAGTATATTTTGATACCTTGACTATTGCCAGTTATTTTCTCTTTAGATCTTTTAAAATTTGAAAAAAAACAACTGATTTATAATATAAAGTTGTACTGAGTTGGTAGTTAATTTTGATGAGCACAAAACTATCCATTCCAATATTTAAATGTGACAGCTTATTTTCTGTGGATGGGAATGTTAATCATGGGGTTGAGACATAGCACACACCTTACCAACCCTGAGAATTTGAGGTTGAATCCCTGTATCAGGTTGACCTTCTGCCTGGCCAACCTTGATCTCACACAGCTCTGATAGGTCAAAGTTTTTTTTTTTTACTGTAGGGAGTGATTTTAATGTTAAAACTCTTGATCACAAACTTAAGACATGGCAGCTCTTAAATATATTTAAAGAGGTTAATATAGAGGGGTTAAAAAACTAGAACTTGATATCTTTTCTAGGGTCTTGAAAAACTAGAGCTGATATCAGGGTAATTTTTCTAAGGTTTTGTATAAATAGAACAGATAGCAGGGTAATTTTTCTAAGGTTTTGAAAAAAATAGAACAGATAGCAGGGTAATTTTTCTAAGGTGTTGAATAAATAGAACAGATAGCAGGGTAATTTTTCTAAGGTTTTGAATAAATAGAACAGATAGCAGGGTAATTTTTCTAAGGTGTACATAAACTAGACAAAACTGATAGTAGTGATAGTATGGTAATTTTTCTCCAGACATTTATATTGAATATTAACTAAAGTTGTCTTCAACTATTAAGCTTTTAAAGAAGATAAGTGATATAACAGTCACATTTACAAAAACCAACACTGATACATTCTATTTAGATTTTGTGTCAGATTCTGTAAACAATTTATTTTTCTAACAGTTTTTTGAAAAATTTTGAGTGACTTTAGGTAACTGAATTAAGTTACCAAGCTAGTCTTTCTTGAGGCTTTTAATAAAAAATTTTAAACAGTTATTTTAAATTTCTAAACCTTGCCCCAACATGTCTCCTCTTGTGTCATGTTGTAATAAGTCTATTTAGAAAAAATAAAGATGTTTTTAAAAAAACATTTGGTTATTATGGTTAATTAGACACTCTTTTATAGAGCTGTCTGTGGGTTGTACTAATTCTTTTATATAACTGTTTAAACATTTTTGAAAGGCCTTCAACTAGCTAAAATAATAGCATCATACTGTATTGAAATATCTTTGTTAAGCTACACATAGACCTTACACTAAAGTATATTATAACACTAAAGCTCACAACTAGTTGTAATGGTTATCTCCCCTCTACCACTAATATTGCCAAGTTTTCTGTTATGTGAAAGCTTGAAGGCCAAGTTAAGCTATTAAACATACTAAGTCCATAAAAAATGGATTTAATGGTGCTGTTGTTGAGATATTTTTTGTTTGTTGTCCAACTTATTTAAATAGTAGTGTGCTAAAACCCATAAGGTTTATCTGTGTGAAAAATCCATATTGTCATAATTCTTTTTTTCACATTACCTGTTTTATTAACTGCCACATTAATTTACCACCACCCCTCCCCTCCCACCCTACCACTCATTCTGATAGCTTGATAATTGCTGTTTTTAGACAAAGGAAGGTTTTTTTTATGCATATCACCTGCCAAATTAAAAAACATTGAATGAAAGCAGTGGAGAGATAGATAAAAATCAAGTGACATGTTTTCAGACTAGATTTATGGCAAATGATAGAGTTGATCAATCTGCCAATACACCCCCCCCCCCCCCCCTTCCCTCCACATACATAATCTCCCAAACAACCCTTTTCCCCAACACAGATGTGCTAAACACTAGTTTCCAGCACACATCACCCCCATACCCCACCCCATCACACATTCCATACCAGGCCCCACACAAATCACTCCTATACCCCCACCCCCACATAAGCTTTACACACAAGGTCCCAATACACATTAGCCCCATACCCCCACCCCTTACAGACACAACACACAAGGTCCCAATACACATTAGCCCCATACCCCCACCCCTTACAGACACAACACACAAGGTCCCAATACACATTAGCCCGATACCCCCACCCCTTACAGACACAACACACAAGGTCCCAATACACATTAGCCCCATACCCCCACCCCTTACAGACACAACACACAAGGTCCCAATACACATTAGCCCCATACCCCCACCCCTTACAGACACAACACACAAGGTCCCAATACACATTAGCCCCATACCCCCACCCCACACATACACACTAAACACCAATTCTCAATATACATCATACCCCCACCCATCACAGACACACTAGAAACCAGATACCAACACACTCCAACCCCCAACCAGCCCTCCCAACCTAAATCTCTACACCAGCCATGTAGGGTAGTAAAAAAATAAAATCCAGTTAATGTGTTCTTGTAGTGGACTGTTTACCATAGACAAATACCTCCCTGCATGTTGTGCATGGTGCCACTGATCACCCATTAAGTCAGGCTGACATTTCTCCACCATCAACACAACCGTGGAACAATTGAATAAAACATGAATAAATAAATACATCAAAATTTCCAGGCTGTTGAGGTGGTGTCTATTATAACAGACACCCCCTCCTCCCCCATCTGTTATTTCCTGATTTGTTGAAGCAGAAGTCCGACTTGTGAAACTGAATTGATTTAATTGTTTTAGTTTTAATGGCCTCTATGGTAGTGATTGTAACAGGGCGGGCATAAATTGCATATGTTGTAACTTTGACTAGGCCGGCCTGCAAGCCATTTTGTTTGGTTTAAATAAAAGTGAATTTCATTGGTCGATGAAGTAATGAGTAACCATTTTTATATTCAAATTTAAGTATTAGTATTTTATGAAAAACAATTGAGATTTTTTTTCTAGACACCAATGCTGATGAGTTAATGAACTATTGTGAAAGATGTCAACATAGTAGAATTTATTAGTAGAAGAATGATGATCTTCTTTCCTACTTGTTGTATGGAGGCTTTCAATATAGAGGCTGGTTGAAACCTAATTGTACTGTTAGGATAGTGCTAGTGGCAGGCTAATGTAGTTAGGATAGTGATTGTGTCAGTCTAAATGTAGTTAGGATAGTGCTAGTGGCAGGCTAATGTAGTTAGGATAGTGCTAGTGGTAGGCTAATGTAGTTAGGATAGTGCTAGTGGCAAACTAAATGTAGTTAGGATAGTGCTAGTGGCAGACGAAATGTAGTTAGGATAGTGCTTGTGGCAGGCTAATGTAGTTAGGATAGTGCTAGTGGCAGCCTAAATGTAGTTAGGATAGTGATGGTGGCAGACAGATGTAGTTAGAATAGTGCTAGTGACAGACTAATGTAGTTAGGATAGTACTAGTGGCAGGCTAATATTTATGACCTGACTGACAAATGTTGCCATATAATTAAAAGTTCAGTTAAGGACTGTAACAATAATTCCCCCTCCTTCACCCAGATCAGTTCATGGTTAGTTCAGGGACCTGTCAAGACATAGTATTTTACTAATCATCATTCATTAAAATAACCACGACATAGTATTTTACTAATCATCATTCATTAAAATAACCAAACCAACACAAATAAAAGCTGATGCAATACTGTGCCAGAGCATAGAGTGTATCAGATGAATGGGTGCTACTATAGCTAGCACTATGGGGACTATCCTCACAGTACATTAAGTATCAGCTAGCTTGATAAAGTTTGTTTTCCTGAAGTAATGACCTTCCTAGTGGAAAATATCATTGCGCATGTCTTTACATGCTGTAGTTGAATGTTCGGGTCCAACCGGGTACAGGACACATGAACGCATACATAAGAACACATACGATCTTAAGTCTTTGCAAACTCAAGTCTAATACATTAGCATCTGTTTAAAACTGATGCTTATTCTAACCAAAATTACCATTGCTTTTTTTTTTAGTCTTATTACAATTTTAATAAGTAGCAATCGTATGTAACAATTAGAATTGAATGAAATATATCGAAGTATTTTTTTTCCTTTACGAATGCCGTGTGTCATGTATCGAAAGAAAAAAAAAGTATTGGTTTTGGTCTCCCAAGCGAATTCCTCACTCGAATACCGGGCTGTTCTCTACAGGGTCGAACGTTTGTCTAAGGTTTTGGGCTCTCTGTGTGTGTGTGTGGGGGGGGGGGGGGGGGGGGTACGGTCGGTTAAAGAGTCCACGATATTGGCGTTTCGTGTTGGAGGGAATTCCTTACACGTCGAAACGGGCGACTGGTGTTCCAAGTCTGCAACTATAATGACTTTAAGCTTTTGGCCAGGCACGCAGCCATTGGGGAAATCAATACCATTATGCCTATCATATTTCACAAAGATTTTTTTCTTCCCCACATTGAAAGCCATACTGGCTTATCCAGCTTGGGGGGGGGGGGGGGGTCGGCTATTGAGATCCTTGTCTGTTTGACTCGTCTATGCTTGTTAGACAAAGCGCCTGGGTTGTAGGGCGATTACGGTAGAGAAGTGGTAGATTTGTATGGGGGATTCATTTGCATTGCTACTGTCTAGCTGTGTATACAATTTGTCTATAGTTGTTGCGTTGTGTTTTTATTCTTCTGTGTTTGGTTCTTTGAATTTCTTATTTCTATAGTCAGCCGTGTAGTCAAATACTTGCCTCTGTTATCTTATTCATGTTACTTATTATGGAGTCAAAGTCTCACCTCTATACAGATTAGTTTACTTCTGTAATCATGTTCTGATATCTGTAGTCAATTATTTTCATCATAAAGTCACATACTTACCTCCGTAGTTACATACATACCTCTGTACTTACATGCATACCTCCGTAGTTATATACATGCATCCGTATTCATAAACATACCTCCGTAGTCACATACATGCATT